ACCTCTTCTATAGAAGAGGTTCCACAAATCTACAGTGCCGTTTAGAACCGGTTCCAGCTCCCTCCCTCCGCCCATCCCAGAGGAGGAATTCTGGGAGTTGAAGTCCACAGGTCTTAAAGCTGTCAAGTTACACCCCTAACCCTTTAGAAAAGAACCCCAGGGGTGTTCAAAGTTGACAGCTTTAAGCCTTGTGGACTTCAACTCCCAGAATTCCTCCTCTGGGATGGGCGGAGGGAGGGAGCTGGAACCGGTTCTAAACGGCACTGTAGATTTGTGGAACCTCTTCTATAGAAGAGGTTAGAACTGGCAGGAACCCACCCCTGCCATGGTGGTTAAGCAAACCACACGGCCCTTTCAGCAAATCTGGCTCCCCTCCCCCACCCACGCACCGTTGACTTTGCTTGTTGGAAGCCGTTCTGGGAAGGTTGCAAAAGGTGTGATTCTGCAACCGTCATAAATGCAGGGTGAGCGCCCGCACGTTGATCAGGGGATGCGGCAACAGTGCCATTTCCAACGGTCATTAAACGGACGGTCGTAGGTTGAGGGATACCTGTATTGTCAACCAATCTAAGAGAGAAACTGCCAGCCAAACGCTGGAGATTTTTGTGAAGTGAGTGAGGGGTTTGTAGGCCCAGGATGAGGGTCAGGTCTGGCATTTTCAACTTTGTGTTTTACTTGCATCCTATCATAGGCTTTTGGGGGGTGGGAGAGGAAGGGGGAAATTGCCATGTGGAGAATAGAAATGACAAGGGGGTGTTGTGGCCCACCAACAGTCAGCGGATCTGGCAGGAGATTCAGACAATGAGGAGGTTGGGGAGGAACCTGGGCCAGTCCTGGAGTCTGGGGAAGGCTCTGATGAGGGCTCTATGTCAGAGGCAGGGAGGGGCAGTTATCAGCTGCCTTCAGAGTCAGACATCAGTGAGGCAGAAGAACAGCTGGAGCCTGTTCCCAGTGTGCGCATACGCAGAGTTGCCAGACGGAGGGAACAGCTACAGAATGAGTAAAGCCATAGGTGGACGATGAATGGCCCCTCCCAGAGGAAATAAAAGAGGAGCGAAAGGGGAGTGGAATTTGCAGGAGACAATTCGTTCATTCCTGCATTCTTGCCAATTATCACAGCTTCTGAAAGATATTGGCCTGGCCACTCTCCAAGCCTGACAAAGGTCGATAATTGTGAGCTATCTTGAAAGACTGTGGGAGAGGAAAGACTTTCCTGGAGAGGAATTCACTGTCAATTAAATAAAAGGGGTTTATCGGGACGACCACTCGGCTTCGTGCCGCTGGGGAAGCCTAGGTCAGAACGAGGGGTGTGGTGGGGGGTGATAGGCTTGACGGAAACCAAAGTCATGAGAACCGGCCTTTTCCAGTCTTCAAGGACACCTAGCCTGGGAAAAGGATGCTAACTGGACCAAGCAGTTCCCAAAACACCTACATGGCACATCACTGGACAGAGACAGGCTGGTCAAGGGGGAAGGGGAAAATCACAGCTTGTTCAAGCTCTCTGCTCTGATCTAGACGGATCCATATTCCCCTTCTCCTATCCCAAGGGAATGGGTCAATCACTAAGATCTAAAGATGAATCTCAACTGGAGATCACAAAAAGACTTGATCTTCAATCCATAGGACAGCAGGAGACAATGTGGTATGGAGACCCACCATCCTGGTTGTATGGAATTGGCTTAAATTTGCACTCGCTTCGGAATGCTCTCTGAGACCTCAAAGTCTATGGTTAATTTGTATGCAAATGTACAAAAATTAAGCTGGTCACGAATAGAAGACCTCCAAGGTCCCTTCCAACTCTGCTATTCTGTTAAGTATCTTGGTGGAAAGAGATAGGCCAACCCTGCCTAGAGTCCTATTTTCCTTGATGGGGAGGGAAGGAATAGCAATAGCAATAACACTTATAGACTTATATACCGCTTCACAATGCTTTTACAGCCCCCTCTAAGTGGTTTACAGAGTCAGCCTCTTCCCCTAACAATCTGGGCTCTCATTTTACCCACCTCGGAAGGACGGAAGGCTGAGTCAACCTTGAGCCGGTCAGGATCGAACTGCTGGCAATTGGCAGAATTAACCTGCAATGCTGCATTCTAACCACTCTGCACGAAGGAAGGAAAAGGAAGGAAGGAAGATAACAATAGCACTTATACATATACTGCTTCATAGTGCTTTTTACAGCCCTCTCTAAGCGGTTTACAGAGTCAGCCTGCAGTACTGCGCTCTAACCACTGCGCCACCGTGGCTCTCTGAGAGGAGATCATCGTCCTTGAAAGTAGGTTTGCCTTGTTGTTCCAAAGGCGGCTTGTGCAGGCCCCTCAAACCCTTGTTTGGGGTGCTTTGTCCCCCTCGGGCAAGATGAGAGTAACTGGGATGAGAGTTCCTCTTGGGGAAGGGAAATTTTTCAGCTCTTTGAGCCCAAACCGTGGAAACACCAAGTCAGCCAGGAAGCGGAGGTTGAACTGCCGACTGACGCAGTAGACAAGATTTCCAACTACAGAGCACTGGAAGCAAGGCGGGAAGGGCATGGGGTGGGTGGCGCACTCATACCACAGCTTGGCCCTGGCACTGCAGCGGTAGACACTGATGCCCATCCTCTGATTGAGGTCAAAGCGGTAGATGAAGCCATTGACGGTCACCATCTCGGTGGTCCTGTCCTGACTGCCTCCGGTGAGGCGGACTTTCCAAGTGTCTGTCCGCCCGACGTACCTCAGCAGCATGTATCTCAAGGTGCCCCCCGTCACGTAGATCTCCCCGTCGCAGACGGTGGCGGTGTGGGCCACCGCGAAGGTGTCGTTGGGTAGAGGAGCAGCAAAGGCCCATCGATCCAGGCGTGGGTCGTACCGCTCCACGGTGTAGAGGCATTCTCCACCGATGGCGTAGAGGCAGCCATCCAGGGCCACCAGCTTGCAGTGGGGTCTGGCTTGGTTGAGTGGGCAGATCTCCTGCCAGATGTCGGTCACGGGGTTGTAGCAGAAGACACGGTTGGATGGTTTCTGATATCTTCCACGCCCTTCGCAGCCAGCTACGACAAAGAGGTAGTTGAACATGCTGCAGATGGCACAACCCCTGGAGATGGCTTCCACAGGGATGTGGGTTAAGGGATGCCAAGCGTCCTTCTGATCATCGTAGTAAGAAAGTCCACTGGGGTGGCAACCAATATCTGCCACGGTCAAATATTTCTTGCCTCGCATCCTCTTCTCTAGGATCAAGTCCCTCTCTGCAGCATTGAGCTGGCGGTAGATGCCCTGGGTCTTCAGCACTTGGAGATAGTTGTCACTCATGACCTTATAGGCCGCCTCTTGCAGATCCTTAAGCTTCTGCTTTTTGGCCATGCACAAGACCTGGTAGCAGTTCCCCAGATCTAAGTGCACATCCAGAAAGGATTCGGAGCTCATTGGGACGTGGAAAAATTTAGCACCAGCCACAAGCTCCACCAATGGCTCTTCTGTTCCACTGCTGGGGAGATCTTGCATGGATCTCACCAGAGATGAAGTAGAATCCAAGCAAAGAGGAGCTGGAGATGAGGGGAGGACAGCTGAAGGTCCCATTGCTGGAGAACCAAAACCTTCCATCGGCATCTGTAAGTCTGGATTATCTACAATTCTTTGGAAGCTGTCTTTCCGGATGAAGCTATATCTAGCCAACGGAGGTTTCGAGGAGATGGCTTCTTCAACCACAACTGCTTCTCTTTGGTCTTTAGGTTGGGTGTCTTTTTCAGGACTGAGGAGAACGTTAGAAGATGGGGCTGGAGCCTTCTCCAAAACAAGCTTGTTAACGTCATTGTTGGTCACGGATGAGTGGACAGGTTCCTCAGCCCCACATTTCTTGGATACGTTAAGTATGTTGCTAGTAGAGAGATTGCAGGATTGTTGGAGATCCGAGTTGGTAGTAAAGGTGGTTTTATTAGTGACAGATTGAGAAGCGGACTGGACATAGTAATTGTAGATTTTGCCTCTGAGTTGGGCATCTTCAGCTTTCCCAGAACCTTGCTTCTCTTTGATGAAGTTCTCCTCCACCTCCACCTTGGCCACCGAGGAGAAGGCATAGGCCACCTGAGATTGCACATGGTTGTGGTTGATGGCCAAGCCCGTATCACTGGTGGCATAGAAGGACCGGATCTTCTCTCGGCCCAACGGCCTCTCCACAACATGGAGAGCCTTGGACTCTTTCCCCAGTTGTGGAGGATCTCCTCTTTTCAAACCGATGTCACTCCCGTCTGCGGGATGGACCTCCTTCTCCACTGGCTTAGCACAGCTAGAGTCAGCTTCAGCAGGATCGACATCCCAGCCAGGGATGTTACCGGCCTCCTTCTCTCGGTTGAGTAGACCTACTGCTCTGGAATGACCTCCAAAATTGTCCAAATCGGCCCCAGCTTTGCTAGTGCAGTTCTGGATGGTGCCCTCTGACCTCCACCTGTGCTCCACCCCAGATTCTGCATGGCTCACTTCCCCTGCCTCTTGGTCCTCTTCTGCCTCAGTTTCTCTCGTGCCAGGCAGCCCTCTGCCAGCAGGGATCTTTGCCTGCCCACACTCTTCCGCTACGACTCCGTCGCATCTACCCACCTGCGTCAGCTGATTGGTCCCTGGGTGGCATGGCTCCGTCTCCTTGCCCCGGCCTCCTCTGTGCCTCAGGGCCGCTGGCTTGTTTGTCACCTGGCTGCCAACCTGCCATTCCCTTTGCTCTGCCCCGGCGACGTTGGCATCCGCAGCCCCGGCTGGGGTGCTGCCAGGGGGCACGCGAGACTTGAAATACCGGTATGCCAACATCAGCAAGAGCAAAGCTGCGGCAGAGAGGGCCAGCCGGCCGGCCAGAGGTATTTCCGAGGGCTGATCCCCGCTTCCTTCGGCACGGTGGGACATTTTTCCATGCCACGCTGGCGTTCAGGAATGCGATTAATAATTGCCAATGATCGGCTCCGAGTGGATCAGGGCCTGCTCCCCTCCCTCCTCTGCAAGGTGACCTTAACCTGCCGACTGACAGGGAAAAGAGATTATTGCCCAGCTGCTCGCCTCGGTGTGCCAGGTGTCTGTTTACTATAGGTTTGCATATTTGAGGAAGGTGGGCTGGGCTGGAGGCAGGTGAGACAAACCGGAAACCGAAGGAGAGAGAAAAAAAAGAGAAACTGAAAACTCCGCTAAAAGTTATTTCAAGCTTTCGTAAACAAAATAGTTTTTTTTGAAGACGGTGAGGAAAGATTTAAAAAAAACAAGTAACCCGAAAGCCATTTATTCCCCTGATGGATTTCTGTTACAGATCCTGCTGTCAGCCCCAAGGACTCCTGTGCAGGCAGGCAATCCTCGATGTTATAACCACAATGGAGGCCGGAATCTCTGCTAAGTAATATGTTAAGTGCGTTTTGCCCCATTTTACCACCTTTCTTGCCACGGTTGTTAAGTGAAGCGCTGCAGCTGTTAAGCGAGTCACACGGTGGCTAAACAAACCTGGCTTCCCCACTGACTTTGCTTTCTCAGATCATCAAAGGGGATCACGTGACAAACACACACACACACACACCCGGGTGGGACTCTGTGACCGTCCGTTGCCAAGTGCCTGAATTTTGATCATGTGACCTTGGGGATGTTGCAGTGATCTTAAATGTGGGGAAAACGTCCGTGAGTCCCACTTTCAGTGCCGTTGTAACTTCAAACGGTCACTAAATGAACTATTGCAGGTTGAGGACTATCTATATAGTAGATAGCCTGGCACTACACACCAGAACAACTAGACACAAGGACAGGTTTTTTCCCCCAAATGCCATCACTGCTAAAACCCACAACACTCATACTATCTACTAAGACTTTCTTACTATTCTTCTCCTCTTCCTTCCTAGTACCTGTCGCTTCCCACTTATGGCTAGAGCCATGTTGCTTGTACCATTACAATTTATATGGTTTTATTTGTTCCCTAGTATGATTTGATTGTTTATTAGTATTCTATGACTATCCCTAAGTGTTGCATCTTATGATTCTTAATGAATGTATTTTTATTCTCCTTATGTACACTGAGAGGATGTGCACCAAAGACAAATTCCTTGTGTGTGTCCAATCATACTTGGCCAATAAAAGAATTCTATTCTATTCTGTCCTATCCTATATATTCTGTTCCATATTCTATTCTATTCTATTCTATTCTATTCTAATCGATCCCTTATTCTATTCTATTCCTTATTCTATTCTATTCCTTATTCTATTCTATATTCTATCCTACATTCTATTCTATTCTGTTCTATTCTATTCTATCCTACATTCTATTCTGTTCTGTTCTGTTCTATTCTATATTCTATCCTACAATCTATTCTGTTCGATTCTATATTCTATCCTACATTCTATTATCTGTTCTGTTCTGTTCTATTCTATATTCTATCCTACATTCTATTCTATCCTACATTCTATTCTGTTCGATTCTATTCCATTCTATTCTATTTTATATTCTATCCAACATTCTATTCTATTCTATATTCTATCCTACGTTCTGTTCTGTTCTATTCTATTCTATTCTATTCTATTCTATTCTATCCTACATTCTATTCTGTTCTGTTCTGTTCTGTACTATACTGTTCTATCCCATCCCATCCTATCCTATTCTATATTCCTGTTCTGTTCTATTCTATTCTTCCATATTTTCTTCGTTTTAAGGAACCTCGGATTCCTTGATGTGTCGCCACAGAAGAATTTAAAGTCGGTACCCAAAACATTCTCCGTAAAAAGATTCCCTATTTTAATTCTGCTTGGAATTCAGCCTGGTTTGTGTCTTTTGAGCCCGACACCACTGCCTTTATCCCGAAAACGAGACGATGAAAAGGCGGCTGGAACAGGCTCCGGGTTATTATTTTTTTGGTTCCTTCTGCCTCGTGGCCAGAATGCAACCTACACAACAGAGAATGCAGTTTGGTGCCGGTTCCAGGTTTTTTATGACGCACCTTTAAACTTCTCCTTCTGCTCGTCTTTCTCCAGCCAGCTTGTTCTCATTCTTCGCAGTGTCCAAAACAGCACGGTGGAAAAACACAACACCCATGACATATTTCTGCCTGGGGCTGTGTTTGCACAACCAAATCGGAGCTAGCAGGCGAATTTACGCAGCACATTAGGATTGGTTAGTTTTAATCTTGGTTAGTTGCGATTTGGGTTGGAATAAACCCCCAGTGTTGTGGCCTGTCAGCGGAGTGGCAGCAAATTCAAACAGTGAGAAGGTTGTGGGGGAACATGGGCCAGTCCTGGAGTCTGGGGAAGGCTCTGGTGAGGGCTCTGTGTTGGAGGCAGAGAGGGGGCCAGGGCCGTCTGACAGAGTCAAACATCAGTGAGGCAGAAAAACAGCTGAAGCCTGTTCCCAGTGTGAGCATGCGCAGAGTTGCCAGACGAAGGGAACAGCTAAGGAACAAGGGTCGACTTGGGAGGAAGGCCAGACAATGAATTGCCCCTCCCAGAGAAAGTAAAAGAGGAGCGAAAGGGGAGTGGAGTTTGCAGGAGACAATTAGTTCGCTTAACTGGTTCCTGACTCTCTGAGACTCCTGGCCAAGTTCTGCAGCTATCGGCCTGGTAGCTCTCCAAGCCAGATAAGGTCTGTGACTGTAAATCCTCCCTCGAAAGACTTTGCTGGATGTGAATCAGCAGAATTCACAGCAAATTAATAAAGGGTTTTTTGCCAGGACAAGGAGTTTGTTTCATGCTCTTGAGAAGCCTAGGTCAGAACACCCAGCCTGTGGTTCCACGCCCTTTGCGAAGGCTGAAAAACCAGATTAAAAAATCAGCTCGTGTTGGGATCCTAATCTGTTTCTGCCCATTGCCCGTGGTTTGATGCCCTTTTGAAAACGATCGTGGTTTGTTACCTGTTCGTCTTCGGTTTGTGCTTCCGATGATGGATTCCCTCTTAGAAACATGGGGAAATTGCACTTGCTCATCCACTTCTGCCGTGCGCTGGCGAGCGTTATGAAGTGGCCTAAAAAAATTAAAAGAAAAAGATTTCCGTGTAAATATTGCTCAGTCTGCAACGCCAGAGCAGCTCTCCAACATGTCGTTTCACCCGAAGCGTGAAATAATTACAGATGTAGACGGTGCAATTAACTTTTTTACATTAGTCCAAAGCAGGGCTTAACGAATGCCTCCCCGTTCAGTCCAAAAGGAGAGGAGAAAAATGAGCTACGGGCTGTGGTTTTTTTTTTTTTGTTTTCATGTAAAAAAAGAGAAAAGATTCCAGAAGAGAAATGGGGGAATTAAAAAAAAGCTGTCAAGACAAGCACCGAACAAAAGCATTTTGGGGGATGTCAGTCTGAATTTTCATCCTGAGGATTCTTTCTCTATCTCCCCCTCTCTTTCTGGAGCCTAAACAAGAAACTTAAAATGAAGAGTGGTATAAAACATGGTTTTAATTTTGTAGGTTGGCATGTAGAGGAGAGGGAGGAAGAGGACTTACTGGGAGAAAAAGAATTCTACCACTATTGCTTACAGGAGGTAGCTGCCAAAATGCCCTATTTTTAAGAATTAATTTGGGGGAAAGGATGCAGGATAGCACCCACTTATCATGGGTTTCAATCCTATGATTCTCCCCCCAAAATTGAGGGGTTTTTTTTCTGCTAAAAGCAAAGGTAAGATTACCAAGGGTGGCTCAGTGGCTAAGATACTGAGCTTGTCGATCAGAAAGTCGGCAATTTGAATCCCTGGTGCTGCATAACGGAGGGAGCTCCTGTGACTTGTCCCAGCTTCTGCCAACCTAGCAGTTTGAAAGCAAGTTAAAAATGCAAGTAGAAAAATAAGAGCCACTTTTGGTGGGAAGGTAACAGCGTTTTGTGTGCCTTTTGCATTGAGTCATGCCGGCTACATGACCATGGAGACGTCTTCGGACAGTGCTGGCTCTTTGGCTTTGAAACGGAGATAGGCACCGCCCCCTAGAGTCAGGAACGACTAACACACATGTACAAGGGGAACCTTTATCTTTAAGGGAAGGTTGGTAGTCCTTGTGTTAAGGCTTTAGTGTTGCCACAATGGAGCTGAGGGAGTGGAAGTGGGGGAATAGAGATAGCTGGGGTTTTGTAGCCAAAAAAAACCAAACCACTTTCTCTTGGGAACCAAGGACATTCCCACAGGTGGCTGGAGAGAAGAGGAGGAGGAGTGAAGCTACCAGGCAACCTGACAGAACCCTGATTGGACCATGTGACTGATTGTTTGGGGAAGGGAGAAGATTTTTACTTTTAATTAGGTAAAAACTGCAGAGACAATTCAGGGTCGGTTTTCACCAGCCTGTGCCAATATGACATATCCCAATAATACTGTTCCTTGAGGAATCTACCTGCCTTGGAGTCCTGTTCGTTATAGGTGTATTATTTGGAACCCTGATTCCTTGATTTACAACAGTTTGTTTAGTGGCCTGATGGAAGTTACAACGGCACTGCAAAACGTGTGTAATGCCCTTTTTTCACACTTATCCACACTGTAGCATCCCTCATCTTCACGTGATCAAAATTTGGGCACATGGGCAATTGACTCATCCTTATGACGGTTGCAGTGCCACAAGGTCATGTGACCCCCTTTTTTTTGCAACACGCCAGTCAGATTCACTTAAGAACCATATTACTGGCTTAACAATTGAAGTAATTCACTTAGCAACCGTGCCAAGGAAAGTTGTAAAATGGGTCAAAATTCACTTAACCATGCTGTCAGTTCGCAACAGGAATTCTGGGCTCAATTGTAGTCCAAGAGCCAAAGAGGAACAAGGATGATTTGATTTAACAGACTTGGAAGGGACCTTATAGGTCATCTAGTCCAACCTGCCCCTTGCTCAAGCAGGAGACCCTACACCATTTCTGACAGATGGCAGTCCAATCTCTTCTTGAAAGTCTCAAATGATGAAGCCCCCACAACTTCCGAAGGCAACTTATGTTCCATGGGTTGATTGTTCTCCCTGTCAGAAGGTTCCTCCTTATTTCCAGGTTGAATCTCTCCTTGTTCAGTTTGCATC